TAATCTGGACTAGTTCAGAGGAGGTGGCAGAGCCCTGGGGTGGGGACTGCCATAGCCTTGCAGTGTCCTCAGGCTCTCAGTCCTAGGGCAGGGTGGGCTGGGAAGCTAGAACTCTGGAAACCCAGCTCTGGGCCACAGGCCCAAAGCCACCTCCTGCCCAGTTCCTCACTACAGGGGGACTCGCTTACTGCCCAGAGCCCACCCTTTCTGCATGGGCCTTCCTGACCATACAGATAACCCAGACCTAAAAGCCTAGTGTTGGCTGGGCTGACTGGGGACCTGTGTGGGCACCAAGGACACAGCCCTCAGAATTCAGGGGCCACCTTGTCCTGCCGAGAGCTATGGGCCCCGAGTAGGCACCAGAGCCTGAGGCTAGACTGGGCTCCTCTGCAGGCCTCGTTCACGGGATTGAGGAAACTCTTCTCCACTGGGCTTCAGTGGCCCTTTGAGACTTCCTCTCTGCATCACTTCAGGACAAAGAGGAATGGAGAACAAAGAGCCAGGCCACGCCCGGGTCCCTCTTCCAGGATTCATGCCATCCAGGCCTGCCTCCCAGATGGCATAACTAACTCGAGGTGGGTGTCCGAGCTTACTGCGACCTGAAGAAAAGAGCACCTCCCTGTGCCCAAGGAATGCTCTCTCACCCAGCCCCGGAAGGCTCGAGAAGGACCACTTGCCCACCAGCGTTAGATCCTGGTGGGAAGACGGCTGCAGTCAGGGCAGCAGATCCCATAGGAAGTGGCCTTGTGTGAGCAGGAGCTGGACTGAGCTCGTGCTTGGGCTCCCCGGGCCCCCCAGCCACCACCTGGCACCCCAGGGAGTGACCCTGCTCAGGTGTGGCTCACAGCAACCCTGAGCCAGCCATCCCACTGGATTTCACTTCCAGAATCAGGGCAGATTTCCTTATTTATTGAAACCTCTGCCTTTTCTCCCTTCATCCTTATCCTGCTGTGCTATGAAGAGAACCCGCCTCCAGAGGCCAAGGCCAAGCCTGCATCTCCCTCAGGTCCCCCTTTGCTTTCGGGAGAAAGTTCACTCAAAAACTAGCCCCAGCGTCTTGTTTGTGCAGAACTCGGTGGAGAAACCGGGGTCTGTTGTGCACCGAAGCTGCTTCTGAAGCAGAACACAGCGGGGCTCTCGGTGTTTCATGCTGCCTTATTTATATTAAAAATAAATAAATCAATAAATTCTCTCATGGAGGAGAAACGGGCACAGAGTTTGTTTTTAACTTCGGGAAGTTTGTGTGGCTCCCAGGGCAGAGTTGGGGACAGGGGTGGATTTCCTATTGACAAGCAGAAGCTTTCGCTCCCCTTTTATTCTTACACTTTCAGGAAACTTTTAAAAATAACAAACTGGAAGACTCCTGTCTCTGAGGCTGTGTCTGCGCAGCCTGCAGAGGTCCAGAAAGGCCTTTGAAAGCCAGCTGGGAGGGCAGATTCCAGCCCCGGACCTTACTTCACAGAGCTCCTGTGTGCAAAGAAATGGAGGCTCTGGAAGTCACTGGAAGCTTCCGATGTTTGAAGAAAGAAACTGTCTTGTAACTGGAGGAGCTCTGGCCCTTGAGGGCACATGGACCTTTCCACTAAGGACACCCGTCCCCCTCTGTCTCTGAGGACTTTCATTTCCTTCCAAAGGATACTAAGTGCGCCTGGCCTCTGCCTACTTTCTGGGCAGGATGCTCCAGGCTGTGATGCACCTCTTGACAAGGGTGAACTGAGCAGAGCCAGCCTGAGGCCAGGAGTTTGCGTAGATTGGGGAAGTACACTGCATACTTCAAGGCCCCGACCCTGTGTATTTTGTTACTATAATGAACTATCTGAGGCAGGCTACTTATGAAGAAAAGAGATTTATTTCTTGCAGTTTGGGAGGCTCGATCGTATTTATATGGTCTCTGGCTAGGTGTCACATGATATGAGAAAACACGTCTTGAACTAGGGACAAAGAATTGAGCTTTTATAACAATCATTTTGTGAATGCTAACCAGGGTCCCCTGAGAAATGCCTCATTTCCTCCTGAGGGCACACACTGATTGACCTCAGGGCTTCCCACTAGGTGCCTGCCTCATAGTTTCTACCACCTCCCAACACCACCACCCTGAGGACCAAGCTTCCAACATGTAAGTCTGTTTGGGGGGTGGGTGGGAGTACCAAGGATTGAACTCAGGGGCACTTGACCACTGAGCCACACCCCCAGCCCTATTTTGGATTTTATTTAGAGACAGGGTCTCACTGAGTTGCTTAGTGCCTCACTTTTGCTGAGGCTGGCTTTGAACTCATAATCCTCCTGCCTCAGCTCCTGCCTCAGCTCCTGCCTCAGCTGCTGGATTATAGGCAAGAGCTACCATGCCCTGCCAAACATGTAAATCTTTGAGGGGGACACAGAACTCCCAAATTCCAGTTCTTGCCATGCTTTGCTGATGCACCGCCTGGTGAGAACCTGGAACTAGCTAGCACATAGGTTCATTGTCAAGGGTGTCGGGGCCCCTGGACAGCTGGGCCATTTACCCAGATGCTACATGTTACCAGAATCCAATCTGGAGCAGCCAGGCAAGACTTATTTTTAAAGCTTTCTCCCAAGTGACTGGCAGTCCCCCTGGTTGAGGAAGGTTCCTCACTTCCTTTCCAAATGGACAGCTACAAGAGGCCCAAGTGGATAGCTTTTGCCCCAGAGCTTTTGGGAGGTGGACCTGGGAGATTCTGATGAGCCTTCTAGGCATCTATGGTCCAGGGGGTATCAGCGATGCCAGGCCTCTGCAGGAGGCAGCAGGTGGTGCTAATTCCTAGCAGGTCTTAAGGGTCCCTAAGCAGGCCAGGCGTGGTGGCACACCCTTGTAATCCCAGGTCCTTGGGAAGGTGAGGCAGTTCTAGACCAGCCTGGGCAACTTGTCTCAAATTTTAAAAGGACCTGGGTAGAGTAGAGCACTTGCCTAGCATGTGCGAGGCCCTGGGTATAATTTTGGGAGGGACAGAGAGGTGACCTTCTAATTACTCGCCTATGAAAAGTGCCACAAGAAAGACTGAAATGCACACAGTGCTGGTAGGTTCCAAGGAGACCAGTGAGGACCTGTTTGCCCACATGTGGCCCCACACCACCCATATCACATGGATGCTGGCTCCCGGGCCACATCACAGGCTGCAGAGGTATCTCTGGGAATGGGATCTAGGAATCTGCATTTCACCAGATTCCTCAGGTAATTCTGGAAGGCCTCCTGGTGGCTCTGAAGGACAGGTAGAACTGTGTGACCAAGAGAAACACGGCAGCCAGAACCACCCGACTCCACAGCAGCTCTTGCTTGGTGTGCCCCCACCTGTGAGCTCCAAGTCAGTCACTCAGTCCTGAGGTGGCTGCAGTAACTGAACTCCCATTTTCTCGATGAGGAAACTGAGGCACAAAGGGATTATGTGATTTATCTAAGGTCACACAGGGGTAAATGACAGTCAATATTCTAACCAGGCAGTGCTGGTATAGATGTTCCTGGGATGTTGTGGCAAATCAAGTTGAGAAGGTAGAGTGGGAACTGAATCACAGGAAGCCTTAGATGCTAAGCTACAGCCAATTTGGTGATGATTGATGAGCCATTGGCAGTTTTTGAGTGAGACAGTAGCTTGATTCACCCCTAAGCTATGGAGTTCTTAGCTCTGTGCCCTGTGGGGTGCCGAGGTGGAAGGGTGGCAAGGGTGGCAACCCCCGCAACAACCAAGGGAAAACCAAGAAAACCCGGAATCAAGCCCCCCAAAACCTAATCAAAAAAATCCCCCCGTCCGGCCTGGCCCCAACTTCGGGGAAAAAACCGGAAAGATGGTTGGGTTGGTCCCAAGCAAAACCCAAAAACCCCCAAACAAAAACAACCAACCAAAGACAAGCCAAGCCCCAACCCAACGCAACCCCCCCCCACCAACCCCAACCCCCTGGAGGGGCAGTGTTTACAGTTGACTTTTCTCATCGCCATCTAAAGATAGCTTGTACTTTTAAGTAGTTTGTTTTAAAATAAAACAGTACTAGTCATGATTTAAAAAAAAAAAAATCAACACAAACCTCCTCCTCCTGACTTCTGAGTCCACTCCCCAGAGAGAACCAGTACTGTTTCTTGGGTATCCTTCCAAAAATTTTCTGTGTATGTTTATCACATCTGCGTTTGCCTGGCTTAAATGGCATGCCATCTAACTTTTCTTGGGCATCTTTTTGAACATTTTGCTGTCTTATTCTTTAGAACAGCTGCTCACTGTCAAATCTGTATGTGTGCTTGGGCCTCAGTTTACCAGCCTCCCCTACCGAGGACCACTCAGCTGCCTCCAGACTTTTTTGCTGTTATAAATATCTCTGTGCACTTGGCCTGTTTTGAAGCGACCTTTCCCCTCCTGGTACTCACTGAATCCTGTACTTAGCAACTTGCTGCAGGAAGATTCACCACCAAGCTCTTTATACCGTCAAAAGCAACTATTGCCGGGGATTTCTGCAATCGAGGCCGCAGAGTAAAGGAAAGGCATTCGGCCAAGCCCTGAGCAACAGGTGGGCTTTCCCCGGGTCAGGCACAAGGTGAGAAGCAGAGGTAGAACTCAGGGGTTCTGTGCCCAGGGAACTGGGTCTGTTAGGAAGCCAAGACCAATGGCTGCAGAATAAATCAGAGATCCAGGAAGGGGTGGTAGTCATTGGAAGTGAAGTAGAGGCCACCAGAGTGGCGTGGGAAGAGCTGGGTCCGCCTTGAGTCTGAGCTCTCACAGCTTTAGCTCCCTCACAAAATATGAAGCACCTCC